CCGCCGCCCGCCGAGACCCGCCCCCCCGCCCCCCGTTCCTGGCCCCTCCTCTCTTCAGCCCGCCCCCATTCCCCTTCCCGCCACCTCCACACCTGCACGGCCTGCTGCGGCCTCAGGTAGGCAGGCACATGAAGGAAATGATAGATGGCTATGCAGCTAGATTGAAATCAATGGCCGGTGAATTTCTACGTGTTTGTTTACAGCACATTGAAATCAAAGAGCCCCAGGACATCGAGCCGCGGATGGCCATCCTGCACGGCATCTTCCCCAGCGGTGAGTCGCTCGGCGACATGATCGTCACCTACTCGGCTCCCGGGGAGTCGCCCTTCACGCAGCGGACCACCAAGGCACGCTTTGTAAGGCCCATGGGCGGCTGGAATGCCGAGAAGATGGCCAAGCAAGCGGCCAGGGCAGGGGCTCCGCAGAAGCGGAAGACTGCCCAGCCATCAGGGTCAGGGTCGGGGCCGGCAACAGCGGCGCCGCGGGCACCCGCAAAGCCGCCGAAAGCACCGGCCAGTCCGGCTGAGCCTGCACCCAAGCCTGCAGCCAAGACGCGGCCACGCAGGAACAACAAAAACGGAAACATGTAAGTTATGTAAGGAGGAAACCTCCACCAGATAGATAGATGGATGACTAAGTCGAGTATCACTGGCCTTCCTGGCCTCCTGGTGGGTGTGGTGTGGTGTTTGTTGTGAATTGGTTGGTTGATCGTGCTGATCGTGCAGCAAGTACTACTTGCAGGCGGACAAGCCGGACATCGACTCTGACCTGGCAGCTCTTCGTGACGTGTGCCTGGAGTCGGATGAGGACGCTGCCGAGTGGGCCGAGGTGTACGCCATGGACATCGATGCGGAGCGAGAGCACACCAAGAGCAAGAGCAAGAAGGCCAAGAAGGAGGCCGCATCCCGCTACCCCCCGGAGCTTGTGCCGCCCCTCAACGCCTTCATCCAGCGGTGCCGACAGCAGCAGCTCGAGACCGTCAAGAAGAGGCTCAGGGCCCACCGCACCTTCCACTCAGGCAACACCATCACCATCGGCGGCGAGCTCGCCTACCATCTGGAGCTGCTGCGGCCAGGCCGCAAGCGCATGGATGGTGCTGCTGGTGCTGGTGGTGTTGGTGGTGAGCAGACGGGGGGTCTCGATCCGCGGTCAGAGCGTGCCGTGGGTTCTGCGCTGTCGGCCATGCTGGCCGCCCACCGCGCCGTTCGTCACATGGAGCCGGCCGACCGTGACCCCCTCGAACTCCTCCCTGAGCGAGACCCCTCCCCCGATGAGGTGGCCGCCAGGTTCCGGTTGGTACAGATGACCCGCAGCAACCAGTTTGAGGACAAAGAGGAAGCCACGGCCAAGTCAGGAAAGGAGCCGGCTGCGGCTGACAGCCAGGCGGCCGACTCGGCTATGGATGTCGACGTGACGGGTGAGGCGGAGGCGGCGGGCGGTGGGGGTCTGTCGGCGGATGAGCGGCGGGCCCGCTTCTTGGCGGCGATGGAGGAGGGAGGGGACTCGCCGGATGGGGCGGGGGCTACTAAGTCGGCATCGCGAGATGCGGATCTCATGGATGTTGAACAGGTGAGGAATGAATAGACCGACTGACTCAGACCTTCAGATGGAATCATCCATTTTGTGTGTGTGTGTGTGTGTGTGTCAGGATGTGGCCCGTGAGCCGAGTGGCGGCTTGCAGTTCCTTGGGTCTCCGTCAGGGAGCAAGAAGGGGGCCGAGGCCTTCGACATAGAGGAGAAGCTCGTCTCGGCCGCCTGCATGGGATCCGGCAGTCGACAGCCATTGATGGTGTCCACTCGTAGTGGTGTTGGGGATGAGGGGGCTGACGCGGTGGATAGCAGTGATGACGACACCCCTCTGTATACCAGTTGGCGGCGGCGTCACGCGAAGCGCAAGAGGCGGGGGCCCTTCTACAGGCGTTTCTGGGAGGCGCTGAGACCTGACGCGCAGTGGCGGATCAGGTGGGTCTGGGGTCAAAGGGGTGGACTGGACTGCGGCGGGCTGCGCCATGCATATGTCTGTCTGGCTGTCACACATGAATGGCATGGCATGCAGGCCGAGCGTTGTGGACGAATGCAAGCGCATCTACTTCAGGTAGGTCAGACAGCTGCAGGCCTGGCCACACACACCCACACACCCTACAAGATGCATGCCATGCATGTCGATCGACAAACGAACGAGTCGACACTCTCTCTGCTATTCATTTATTTGTGTGTCTGCCTGCGTGTGCGTGCAGCAAGAGCGAGCCCGAGTACTCGTGTCTGCTGTCGTTCATGCGTCTGCTGCCGCTGTCCAAGATGACCCCGGCGCAGATATCCGAGGAGATCGAGGAGTTCGTCCTCGTCACTCTCCGGAGACTGCAGGACCTCGCAGCCAGTGGCATCGCACCCCCATCCGTCAAACACATGTTCCTGCGGGACACTCTAGGCCACTTCGGCAGCCAGACCTCGGGTGGTCTTCGTCGAGGGCTTGCCCGCCCACCAGTGCCCAAGTCACGAGATGGTGGCCAACAGGAGACGCCGCGCAAGAAGTCGCCGATCGTCATCGCGCCACCGGCATTCGGTGGCGTCAAGAAGGGTGACGCCCCGCGTCCGCTGAGCCTCCCGCCGCTGCCCTTCCTGCGGGGCTGTCTGCCGCTGCTCACTGCCAAGAGCATGCCGCCGTTGGCCATCGGTGTGTCAGCTGCCCCCCACCTGAAGCGCGCTGCAGCTGACCAGCTAGAGCCCCCTGAGGGAGCGGCAAAGAAGCCGCGGCATGAGGCCAACCTGGCGGTCCCTGAGGCGCCTTCGTCCGGCCCAGTGCCGATGTCTCGTCACCCGATCATCGCCATGGGACCGAGAGCCCATCGCATGGGGCCGCCCTTCCCATTTCCATTTCCGTTCCCCCCGCCAGCTCTGCAAGGCAAGGGCCCATCGGGCGGTCCCCGCCCAATGCCGCCACTCTTCCCGCCTCGCCTGCCCTTCTTCCCATTGGCCATGGGTGCTCCACTCAGGGCGGCCATCTCGCCCTCCTCCGCCCCCCGGCCGCCAATGGGACCACACCGTGCGAATGGTCGTGACGGCGACATCGCGGTGGGTCCTGTGGGGCCATTCTCGCGTCCACCGTGGAAGGAGGAGCAGTCGGCATCGTTCGAGTCTGCGGGGACCAACAACGGGATTGTCTCCGCCGGGCCAGTGGCTGGAAAGGGTGACGGGGGCGGTCAGCGTGGGCGTGTGGGCATGGCGGTGTCGTCTGAGTAGCCGAGTCAGTCAGAGCCAGCCCTTCGTGCGATCTGACAGCTGGGTGGGTGGGTTGGTTGGTGGGGTGGATGGAGGTTTGGGAGCAATGCTGTTGGGTGGGGCATGCAAGAAATAATGAGAGCTTTTTCCAATGGACGGACGAGGCTGGATCGCACGGTGGGTCCTCCCTCCCTGCCTGCCTGCCTGCCTGTCTGCTTGGTGGATTTGTGCTAATGCCTGTCTGTCTATCTGTCTGCCTGAGTGTGTACTTTGAAAGAAGAACAAACGTTGCCGCGTGTGGTTTGGGACCAATGCATTGCATGCACTCCACGTGGTGACTGAGTGAGAGATGAGTCAGAGAGGGGGTGTCGGTGCTCACTTGGCTGACTGATGCTCTCTCTCTCTGGCGGTTGGTTCATTCCTTCCTCCCTTCTCGGATGAGAAGATGCATACATACATACGTGTGTGGATGGATGGATGGATACATGGATGGCTGAGGGACATTTTTGCACTCAACGAGTGGTGCACAGCACATTGACTGAAAGGACACGCACTCGGTGGTTCAGTGAGGGCAGGTAAGACTTGCGTCACACACAGGACATGCAGAGAGAGGCACTCACGCAACCAACGCGACACACACGGACGGACAACGTACAATTTGATGAACTTCTTCATCAGACAGCACACCCCCCTCGCCTCCACGTGTGTACGCACCGCCTCGAGTGCATTCATTCACCACAGTAAAGAGAGAGCCCCCTCGCCTTTTCCACTTCCCCCTGTTGTGCACGCCTCAGAGCCCAACCTTCTGCATCTCCACCTCATGGAGGTGCATCTCCTCGATCTGTCGCACAAACTGGGCGTTGCGCTCCCTCTCCCAGTCCTCCAAGAAGGCACCCTCCTCCGCCTTGAGCTTCTCGAGACAAACCTTGGTCGTCGGCAGCTGCGCACATATGCTCTCGACTCGGTCGTTGATCTTGCGCACCCAAAAGCGCAATCTGATGGACGGACGCAGGCAGAAACCAACACAGACAGACAGACAGACCCATTCATTGGGGGGAAGCGAAGGTGTGTCTGTGTGGTGTGGTGTGGTGGCTGTTGTTACACACCGCGTGAGCAGCTCTGTGTGTGAGTCACTCCTGGTCGGCGAGTGCTGCCCCCGGCCCTCCGTCACCTCCCGCGCAAGCGACATGACATTCGACATATACGAACCTGATGATAATTAATGAACCACACGCGTCAGTCAGGGCAGGGCGCCCGCCTGTCTGTCTGTCGATCCGATAAGTGACTGGGTGACCTGTGATGCGATCGAATATCTCACAGACGGCCCCCAAACTCTTGCACAACTCCTCGATGCCGGTGGTCATGACAGTGAGCTCGTCACTGAACTCCTCCATGAGGGCCCTCTCCTCCCGGGCAGCCAACGCCCGGTTCTGCATGATCCGATAGGTGGGGTATGTCGTCAGCACGCCCGTCGACCCAAAGGCAACTCCACCCAGGCCGAACGATGCGGCCGCGGCCGCCGCCCCTTCAGCAGCGCCACAAGTGGCCAGTACACCGGCCACTCCCACCGGCACGGCACACGCAAGGACCCCAGCTGACACGCCAGCGACCGCCAGAAGAGTGTTGGACACTCGTCGACTGCTCCGGTACTGCTCCTCTCGCGTGGATGCCTCCAGCCGCTGGGAGACCCTCAGCCGCTCCATCTCGCCGTCCCGAAGCTCGCGGAGGGCACAGTGAAGGGCATCCAAGTCCCTGCGGCACTCACGAGCTGAGGAGGGAGCAGTGAGGCAAGCAAGGAAGGAAGGAAGGAACGGCCTGCAAGTCTGTGTGGTGTGGCACGCGTGGCTGTCGTGTGTGGTCGTCTTGTCTCTTGCTCTCACCTTCGCTCTGGTTCTCCTTGAGCTCTTCCCTCGTGGCGAGAGAGAAAAACGGCCGATCGCCGCCCTCGAGAAGCCTGTCGATGTCCCCCTCAACTTGCACGGTGAAGCGCTCCAAGCTGAAGGCAGGCAGGCAAACAGCACACAACACATGTCGTCTCGCACGATGTGATCGATCCGGTGCACTTCACTCACTTTGCAGTCAGTGCATGCCTTTTTTTTCTTCGGCTTACATACTTGTATATAGTGATCTGTAGGCGAGGAAAGACGTGCCGTCTGAATGTGTCTGCGTGGCTGAACCAGGTGGCACCGATCTTCTTCAAGCTCAGGCACTGCAGGCACCACACCACCGATAGAACAACACAATGAACCCATTCACTCACCGCTCTCTCTGGGTGTATTGTCGATCGACCCAGTCTGTCGTCCGTCCGCATGCCTCACCTACCTGTGCTTGGAGCGCGAAGAGGCGCCTCAGACACCGTGACACAACGACCTGACAGACAGACAGACAGACAGACAGTGATGCCATGAAGAACATACATAGAAGGGCAGTGTGACGAGATCATCCATCTGGTGTGTCCGGTCTGATCGGTGTTTGGCATACCATGTGTGTGGACACAGCGAGGAGATGCACGGCCAGCGGGATGTCCACCTGTTCCTGCCCCTCCTGCCGCTCCTTCAGCGACAAGTCGTCACTCAGCCTCGCGAGGGCGGTGGTCATATCTTGCCCAGCCATCGTGTCCAATCGACAAACGAGAACGAGGAAAGTTTCCCTTTTCTTTTCCTTCTTTCCCTCTTCCTTCTTTCGGCTGCGAGCTTGGCCTCCAGAGAACCCTAGACCCCAAACCCTGCAGACCGACCAAAGGCGGGATGCGATGAGATGAGATGAGATCTGTTGGTGAGTGCATGAATGCAGCGAGAGATCTCATCGGCGGACGCATCAACAATGTCCTTCGGCGAACTCAAGCAGCGGCATCATCGTCCCTGCACTGCCCCTCACTGTCAGCCATCACCGGCACTCGTGCACTCACGACGCTGACTCCCAAGGCCGCCCTGCACGGCACTGAGCCGGATGACTCATCATCATCATCCCAGCAGTCTGCGGCCTCTCCCTTCCCGGCCACCCTCAAGGACGGCGAGTATCCGGTTCTCCCCGCCCCGCCCATCCCGCCACACATCCCCCGGCCATACTTCGCTCTCACCCACGACGGCAAGCCGCAGACGCCCTTCCCCCCATTCGACCCCAACGGCGAGGTCAAGACAGCCAGGCAGATCGACGGCATGAAGAAGGCGGCTCGTCTGGCCGCCAGGGCTTTGCGGGTGGCTCTGGAGGAGAGCAGGATGGGCGTGACGACCGACGAGGTCGACCGGAGGGTGCATGAGTTTCTGGTTCAGAACGGGGCGTATCCGTCCGGTGTGGGCTTCCACGGCTTCCCGCGGGCGTGTTGCGTGAGTCCGAACGAGGTTGCGGCGCATGGGATCCCCAACCTGCGGCCGCTGCAGGAGGGGGACATCGTCAACTATGACATCACCTGCTACCTCGAGGGATTCTACGGTCAGTCAGTCAGTCAGTCAGTCAGTATCTCAATTAGAAGGGAGGGAGGGAGGGAGGAGGGGAGCTGATTGATTGATTAATTGATTGACTGACAAGTCAAGTGTGTGGTTGATCTGATCTGTCTGTGCCATCCATCCATATCATGTATCTATCTGTCAGGTGACACATCTGCCATGGCGCTGGTCGGCAATGTGAGCGGGAGGCATCGAGAGCTCTCAGACACAACCAAGGTGAGTGAGTGGCCAAGCAGCACGACAGACACGGGACAGACCGAACACATGGAGCACCTTTCCCTGATCATCGTGTGGATTGGATGCGGTGCGGTTCGCAGGAGTGTCTGGAGCGTGCCATATCGATGCTGAAGCCGGGGGTGCCGCTGCGGGCCATCGGCGAAGCTATCAAATCCCATGCTGAGGCGAAAGGCTTCTCTGTCAATGCCGACTTCCATGGTAGGGTAGGCAGTGCACTGCACACGACCTGACACACAGAAAACGGAGCACTTTTGCCATTAATACGCCTCTAGAGCTGCGTGTGTGTGTCTGCTGGCTGTGTTTCATATATAGGCCACTTCATTGGTGAGGAGATGCACTTGCCGCCCGTCGTCTCGCCCCTACGTAACCAACCGGCACACATGACCTGCACACGGGGCCGCTGCCCGCTATTCTTTTGTATGGACGCCTGCACTCGTGCGTGCGTGTGTGTGTGTGTGTGGTTAGCTCCATCACGAGGCGGCGATATCCCTCTGCGCAAAGGCCAGATATTCACTATCGGTAGAGACCAGACGACGGACGATGAATGGATGGATGAGTGTGTCGACGTGTGTGTGTGTGTGATGCATGTCTGTCTGTCTGTCTGTGTGCTGTCGTCAGAGCCGATATTGACGGAGGGTTCGCCTTACCTGCGCACCTGGTCTGACGGCTGGACGTGCGTCACACGAGACAACGGCTTCACCGCACAGTGGGTACGTGTGCGGGGGGCGGGCAGACAGGCAGGCAGGCGATCGCGTGTGTGTTTGTTGGATGGTCCTGGCAGGAGCACACGGTGCTGATCACTGCTGACGGAGCGGAGATTCTGACTGTGGTGGACTGACTGACTGACCAAGTTAAGTGAAGTGGGTGTAGTTGTGTGTGTGTATGTCTGCTGCTGATTGTACTGACTGACTGTGCATATGGATATGATGACTGACTGGTTCGATGCATGTACCTGGCCATGATTGAATGGTTCATTCAGCCTTCCGAGACAGACCTGTCCGGCAATCACACTCTCACTCACAGGCAGCCTTAGTTAGCCACTTATCAGCCAGGTAGTAGACCCGTCAGCCGATCAAAACACCCCCGTCCATCCATCCATCTGGTCGGTCACACACGAACGAACGAACATGCAGCCGGGCAATCAGCTAGTCAGTCAGTCATGCACACAAATACTTGCCCCTCGTCCGTCCGTCCGTCCGTCCGTCCGGCAGGTTTGTTGGTTGGTTACTGTACACACACACGTCGTCGTGACCGACCGGCTTGTCCATCGTCTAGTCATCCTGCCTGTCTTCCCTGTCTTCCCTGTCTGTCTGTCTGTCTCTGATTGTCGCCGATACGGCAAAGTGAATGCATTCGTTCTCTCTTGTGGTGCTCCTTCTGTTGCTCCAGTCAGTCGAAAAACAAAAAATCCGAGTGAGTCGATGGGGGTGGGTGGCGCGAGAGACCTGCCCGCCCCTTACTCATTCCTGACTGAATTGGCGCCCGTCCATGGCCACCCACCCATGCGCATGACAGTCCGTCGGTCAGTCAGTCGGCTGCCAAGAAAGAGTTGTGCTGCGGATGCCGGCCGGCCGGCTGCCTTAGTCAAAACACCATCCATCCCACCACACCCCCACGCCACGCAAAGACACGGAAGCACAAGAGGGTACGTAAAGTACTGATTGGATGTGATCGGAGTCCGACGTGTTTAGTCAGCCATAGTAGTCAATATCACCATCCATCATGCCATGCCATGCAGCGGTCCGTCCAACACGAGACTCAATCACACATGGCAGGCAGGCAGGCACTCCACTCCCGCACAGGCAGGCAGGCAGGCAGTCACAAATGCGAGCAGCAAAGCCAGCCACACACACTCACTCACCCGAGCCGAAAAAACAACACAGCCACGTGTGACGTGTGGCCCTGCCCTGCCCTCCCCTGCCCGCCAGCCGCACTCATCCGCCCATCCATCCATCTATCCATCCACCTGGCATCCCATCCGCCAACACGATGCACAGGCGGCTGAACATTCACACACACACACACACACAGAGAGAGAGAGAGAGGGAGAAGAGGCCACACTAATGTCATGCCAACTCTTTCCCTCTCCTTCCCAGCACCGAATGCTCACCTCGCTTCGTTCTATCGGTTGTGGTTGTTGAGGTGGTGCTGCGGGTAGATCTGCGCCATCAGCAGCCGCTGCATCGCACTCTCAGCAATGCCCCCACCGAGTGCCGGTGCAGTCGCCGCACCGGCAGGCCACTGCCCCCAGCCGGCCTGCGGGTACTGCCCGAGTTGGTAGGGGTAGCCATTGGGCAGCTGGGCGTGTTGCGGTGATGCGATCTGAGTGGCACGGGTGGCGGGGCGGGGGTTGGGGATGCCGGCGCGGGGCATGATGGGGGCGTATCCACGGGGGGTGGTGCCAGTGTGGTTGTGGTTGGTGGCCGCCTGTGCAGCACTGGGGGACTGGCCGTTCTGCAACCCGATGCTGTTGTTGGTCGACTGGCCGTTGACGAGCTGCTTGCGGTCGACGTACGGATAGCGATGTGGGTGCGTGGCGAATACGTCACGGCCAAACAAACTCGCCGGCACATCTGAAGCCAACACACAACACACACCACACAGCACAGAAAACATATATGGATCCATCCGAGAAATGACGGGGTCCCTCCCCTCTGGCTGGTGTGTGTGCATCGTATCGTATCTACCATTCGGGTATCCGCTGCGAGCGCGAGCAAAATCAGCAGCAGGCCCTCCCACGCCACGGGTCTTGGACGCCTCCTCCCGACGTGAGGCCGCCGCCGCAGGACCGTCCCTCTCATGCGTCTTAGACGCATCATCACCCAACACCATGGACGAGTCCTCACTCCCCAGAACAGGCGGTGTGCCCATCGCAACACCACTGCCGCCGCCCCTACTGGGGCGAGCCAAACCCTTGCCGCTCAGATCGCCCTTGGCCTGCTGCTGCAGCCATGGCCACTGGTCCAGGGCGGACGATGCTGCTGCCGCTGCTGCCGCTGCTGCCGCTGCTGCCGCTGATGCCGACGTGGGGATGGTGCTGGTGGCGATCTGCGGCTTGTTGCCACCGTTGCTGGGGGGCAGCTGCAGAGGAGGGAAGAATGGGCGGTACGCGGGGGAAACAGACGACGACGAAGCCGCGGCAGGGCTGGCCGACACACCGTTGGCGTTGGCGTGGACCGTCGACGGCTGCTTGCTCGACGAGGCCTTGTATGAGGGCGCCACTGCAAACACCACACCACACCACACACGGCACAGCACAGCACACATAAATGGATGGATGAGTGGATGTGGGATGTGTGTGTGTGTGTGTGCCGGTTTTCCCCGCCTTGGTTACTCGTGCGAGGCTGCGGCTGCACGAACGCCGGCTGCCCGAAGGACGCATACGCGTAGGGCGACGAGAGCAATGGCTGATAAGCCGAGGCCGACACACCGACACCAAGGCCGGTACCGAAGCCGCCGAAGCTGCCGCCCGCGACCTGGCCGAGGCCGTACTGGTGGTAGTGGGAGAAGGGCAGGGGAGGCCGGCCGCTGTCAGCCCCGGCCCCACTCTTGGCGGCCTGTCTGGTGCGGTCGCTAATGTTTGTGGCGTTGCTGCTGTTGGTGTCCAGAGAGCGTGATGGCGGCAGAACGGGCAGGTTGGCCCAGGGGGGAGGCTTGCCGAGTGCTGGTGCTGCGGGAGCCGCTGCCTCGCTCTCCCTGTTGCTGCCCGCCTCGCCCGTGTCGATGCTCTTGCACTCCTTGCGCACCATCTCCTTCACCAAACGAACGCGGCGAGCCAGACTCTCCCTCTCACGGCTCGCAGCGGCCGTCTCCCCCGCGGCCTTGCCCGGCGCCATCTCCACATCGCCGTCCACATCAACATCAACAGCAGCAGCCTTGCGGCGCCTCTTGGCGCGTCCCCCATTGTTGGCACTGTCGCCGCTGCTGTCGTTCTTGCTGGCGGACTCGTCTGTCTCGAACGACGGGGGCGAGGGCGAGCGCCTGCTGACCTGCCGCTTGCGCCTGGACCTGCGGCGGCCGCCTGCCTGCCCGAAAGTGCCGCTGGTGTCCTCCGAGTCCTCCTCCTCCTGCTGGGAGGGGGAGGGAGTGTCGTGGCCGGGGGGCGGGGGCGGACGGGGGGGGAGCACCATCGACGGCACCCCGTCGCGCGAGTAGTAGGCCATGTAGGCCTGCAGACAGCACAGCCAGCCATGGGATTGAAACACAGAGACCAGGTAGGGTGGGAGGATGTTGTGTGTGTGAGTGTGTGTGTAGGTGGGGTGGGTGGGGGTGGGGTGTGGTGTGATTGGGTGCACGGCCTTGCCCACCTGCTGGGAGAGGACAAACTCGTCGGTGTATTCGGCCACGGGGCAGGAGTCGTCATACAAACACCACCGGGGCCGTTCAGCTGAACCTGTGGGGGCTGGCCAAGCCACACAACAGACAGACAGACACATGGACGGACAGGTATGATATGCATGTGATGTGCAGAGAGAGGGGGAGGTGGATTGGATGATGCGATGCACCCACCCACCCCACCCCCCATCAGTGACGTGACATGACCTACCTTTCTTCTCGGAGTCGTCATCGTCCTGCGCGAGGGCGTACACGGCGTAGTGACCCTCAACAGCACTCGAACCCTTGTGCACCACAACGGCTGACAACCACAGACACAGACAGAGGGAGAGATGGCATGGCTGCCCCCCCCACTCAGCTCACTCACTCACCAGTGAGTTTGTGTGTGCCCCGTTTGCCGTCCCCCGCGTCGACATGCATGGCCGACGACGATGCGGCCGCCGAGCCGTTGTTGGCGGCGTAGGCGTCGAGGTCCAACTCCAACGACAGCTCCACGTGGGTCTGCACCTGCAGAGACACAGACAGAAACAAACAGGCCAATGGAGGGGTGTGGGTTGTCCCTCTCTCTCTCTCTCTCTGTGTGTGTGTGTGTGTGTGTGTGTGGTGCCCCCGTGCCCCCGTACCTTGTCATTGTTGTCCAGGAAGCGTTTGACCTGCAGGATGGCCACTTCTGGGACCACAGACATACTGGTGGCCTTGGAGGCGTCACGCTTGCGCCCACAGGCCTCACACTGGTACCTGACACACACACAAAGACACAGAGAGATACACACACACACGACACGTGCTGTGTGTGTGGATTGGATTGGGTGGGTGAGGTGCCTCCTTACTGGTTGTCGCCCTGCAGTGACTCCTGCGCGAAGTGCGATCTCATGCACTCGTCAACGCTAGCAGACTGCCAAAGGACACACACAGAGAGAGAGCAGAGAGATGCAACAAACACATCAACCACGTCTCGCCTGCCTCCCTCCCTCCCTCCCTCTGTGTCAGTCTGATGGGTGCGTGAGTGTGTACCTCACCTCGTCCGTCATGCCGTTGCCAGGTATGGGGATGGACATGATCCAATGGGGCTCATCTCGCGTGCTGACCTTGCCGCAACACTTGCACGTCACCACCGTACGTTGCACACCTGACGCAACCAACAATAGTGAGTGACACACACACCACCCTGACTGACCACTTGTGGGTGTGTGCTGTCGTGTGGTGTGGTGTGGTGTGGGTGAATGGAGCGGTGCTGCGGCCCCACCTCTGAAGAGTTTGGAGACGGGCGTCTCGGTGGTGTGGTCGGCTCCCGCCTGCTCGAGGGTGATGTCGGTGGCCCCACTGTCCGACAACATGTCCGCCAGGATCTCGCGGTGGAGGGTGTCCAGAAAGAAGGTCGTCGCCTCTGCAACGTCCTCCTGCTTGCCAACACCTGCACACACACAGAGACAGAGAGGGAGACATGTGTGTTGGGCCGGGGGGCGGAGGGAGGGAGGGAGGGAGGGAGTGTTTGTGTGGTGTGGTGACTGACCGAAGTTGGGGCACGTCCGCATGAGGGTGTAGAAGAAGGTGCTGGGTGTGATCTTGAGATTCAGACAGTCGGCCTTGTCCAGCAGCACCTCGCTGCGCTCGGCCGCCCGCTGCTTCGAAACTCTCTCCTTCTCGCCAACCGTCCACATGGCGCTGATCCATCCATCCACCACACACCAGACAACACACATAGAGAGAGGGACAGATGAGCGAGGTCTTGTCTGTGGTCTGCTTGTGCGTGCGTGTGGTGCTTCCTTCGGTCTTACCTTGTGACGAGCACCGTCTCCCAAAGTAGTGACGAACTCGGTGCCTTGTGGTCGGCTCTCGTGGCGCGGCCTCCCCTTCCCAAACGACCTAGGTTCTCGGTGCCCTTGTCTGCACACACAAGAATCGACCAGGAAGAGCCGTGAGCGGTGGTGGACTTCTCCCACCTGCAGCTGTCTGTCTGTCTGTCTGTCTGTGTGTCTGCGTCAGTTGGTATCAGTCAAACGTACCGCTCAGCTTCGGAGCGTAAGCCTCGAACCGGCGAACCAGTGACTTCTTCCGGAGGGTATACGACGAGCCACCTGACCGACAGCCAGAGAAGAAGGAGTCCAACCAACGAACGATGCAGTCAGTCAGTGTGTGCGTCGTCTGTCGCCCTGTGCTGTGCTGTGCTGCGTTCTTGGGTGGCTCGGCTTCTTACTCTTGAGTAAGAAAAGGACTAGGGGGCGCACACGGAGCACGTTCTGGAGCAAGGACGACATATAGCAGGACTGCTTCATGATGTTGAAGAACACCACATGTCGCGGCCACTGCAGCCCACGCATACAGCCACAACAGCACCATATAGCAGTGCACAATGCCCCGAGAGACGAGGAATGCCCTCAGGTCGCTCACCCTTTGCAGCCACTGCTCGTCATACGGCACCGGGCTGGCGAACTGTGGGCTGTTGGATACTACTGCGAGGGTGGACGCCCTGCCCTTGGCTGCGGTGGGCGAAGGGGGACGGGGAGAGGGTGACCGAGCAGCTGATCGAGAGCGGCCTTTCCGGCCTTTCGTTGAAGGCATGGTGGACGGGGCTGCTTCTCAACGCGGTACGGTGGCGTCAACTTCCCTCACGAACGTCATTTCGACTTTCCTGTTTCGGTTGCGAGCTTGGCCTGTCTGAAACCCTACACCCAAACCCTCCTGAATCGGCCAATTTGAAAATCAAAAGCCATCTTTTTACGGTAAAAAGACCGCTGGCCGTAGCTGCCCTGTCTTGAGCCATAAGTACTATGGCGCCCGATAAAGAGAATGATGGCAAGTTCACGAGTCGATTGGAGAGAAGCAACTCCTACAGCACGCTGTGGTGGGACACGCAGTGCACGCACAGCCCAGATGAGCTCACACACTCCACACACAGGGCAGGCAGGACCTGGATCTTCGGAGGGAGGGAGAAGCAACACATTGTTTTGCTTTGCTTTGCATCTCATTGTTGTCCGTGGTGCGTCTGTGTCTGTCGTGTGTGTCACTCAGGGGCAACCGCGCGAATCTTCAGTCGTCTCGCTGTATCCACTACAACGCCCAGCAGCGGCGGTTCGACCTGCTCTGCCGCACTTGCCAATACAGCTTCCGCGTCGACGAACACGGGTCAAGCACACACAATCACACAATCACACAGCCACACACTAACACAACGAACCGCACGTCAGTCACGTCATCTGCCCCTGTGTGGTGTGTGTTGTGTTGTGTTGGTTGGTTTGTCGGCTGGTTGATTGATGCATGTGCGATGCAGTTGGCTTGAGCATCAGTACTGGGGTGTGCGTCTGCAGCCCGACGACGACCTGGACTTCCTGCACCACACCAACGTTGCCCAGCCGTTCGACCCCATTCCTGAGAAAACGGAGAGATTCAAACCTCACCTCGCCGTCGCGTCAGACATCCTCAAGGTAGCTTGCTGCACAGGCAGGCAGACACGAAGGCAGGCAGGCAGGCAGACAGACAGACGGGGGATGATGGTCTGTCTCGATGTGTGTGGCTGTGATTGATTTGTGTGTGCAGCGTCAGTCGAATGACAGCAACCGCAACACATGGAAGGCGGCCACTATGATGCAGCGGCACCACTACAACGAGGAGGCCAGGTCAGCCAGCCAGGGGCCCTCAGACAGCTCAGCTCACAAACCGATACACTTGACGTGTTCATGTCATGCGTCTACCGTGTGTCTGTGTGTGTCTGTCTGCGTGTGTGTGTGTGTGTGTGTGTGTGTGTGCAGTCGCCTCGAGAATGCCTGCTGGAGACTCCTGGCCATGAAACAGAGACGGAAAGAGAAAGAGTAACTGAGCAGACACCAAACCACCCAGCGATTCACACACACACATCCATCCATCCATTCGTGTGTTGTCCGTGTGTGTGTGTGGTCAGGTGTGCCGAGACCGACTCCCCCCACACGTGCAGTGAGCACATCAGCATCCCCGTCACCGAGGAGGACCGAGCCCTGCTGTTTGAGGAGGCCATCCGCGCACTTATGACGGACAACCAAGACACCGTACTCAAGGCACAGGCGGCCAACAAGGAACACTTCGACGTACGCGAAGAGGCCGACAAACGACACGAGGTGAGTGAGTGAGTTTTGTGCGCAGGCAGGCAGGCAGACAGACAGGCAGACACACACGAGAGAGTGAGAGGGATGTGCGTGTACGTCTGTCTGTCTGCCATGCTCGTGGTGTGTCTTTTTTTCAGCGTGAGATGTCCCGGATCCCTCCCGGGCTGGAGAGGGTCGGCAAGAACACCAAGTTGCTCGAGTTCTCCGATTACGGTCGGTTGGTGCTCACACACACACACTGACGTCAGTCGTGCATCCGCATCCGTCCATCCATGCATCCCTTCATTCATTCATTCCATGTATCGGCGGTTGGGTTGGATGGGATGTCACTCAGGTACGGGTGACTACCGCATTCCGAGTTTCAACGTGACGTATGGCGACGGGAGCAACATCTCGCCCCTGCACTACAAGGCACACCGCATCACCCTGGGGGTGGTGCCCATGGACTGCAGCATGCCCATCGTCGGGGACGAACTTTCTGTACAGGTACGTAGCTAGGTAGGTCGGGTGGGGTGGCCATTTGCCCGACCATTGATTGGCGTGTGTGGGCTGGGCTAGAGTGATGCGAGCGCGTTGATCGTGACGCTGGCCGACCCCTTCACCGACCTGGAGGTCGATCTCCACTACGCCGTCTTTCAAGTGAGAAAGGACAAAGCCAGAAGACAACCATCATGCTACCTGCTTACGTCACGCCACGCAGGATCTGGACGTGATAGTGCGGCGCACGGTCATCCGCAACAAGTCGCCCGCGGGTGGCGTCACCGTTCAGAAAATCGCCTCGGCAACGGTTGATTTCGAGTCAGACCACTACCACTTCCTGCACCTCCCAGGAGAATACACAGCCGAGCGGTCAGCCACCCAAGCCAAACACAACACAACACTCCCTCCCTTCCTTGTCAAAATCGACCCCACTCCCCCACTCATCCCAATCCCATCCATCTATCTGTGCAGGCAAGTGGTGTATCAGCCGATTGTCGAGGGCTACCGTGGTGTGGACAGCCGTCGGGGCACGTCCAGCCACCAGCACAACCCTTTCGCCGTGATATCCCGCGGCGACACGCCGCCCGAGGAGTCGCGGGGCGAGGTCTTTGGGTTCGCCCTCGTGTACAGCGGCAACCACCGTATCGAGATAGAGAAGACCGAGACGGGGAGGGTGCGATTCAACATCGGCATCAACCCGGACCACTTCTCATGGTCTCTGGCGTCGGGGTGCTCTCTGGAGGCCCCCGAGTGCATCATGGCTTACTCAAACGAAGGTGGGTCTGTGAGGCAATCGATACATAGATGGCGTGGTATGGTATGCTGTGTGTGGTGTGGTGTTGTGTAGGTCTGACGTACATGAGTCAGCAGCTGCACAAGTTGATCCGGAGCCACGTGATCCCTCAGGAGTTCAGGGGCAACTGGGTCTGCCCCATACTCCTCAACACATGGTACGTGACGCGCTCGCACGGTACACCACACCCAGCTGGTGTGCAGTGCATGACACGACAGTGCGTGATCTGATCTACCTACGTATATCTGATCTGTCTGTGTGCGGTGCGCGGATGTGTTTAGGGAGGCGCTGTACTTCGACCAGACGCACGACAACATCATGAGCATCGCCAAGGAGGCCAAAGAGTGAGTGAGCCGACACACACGAACGCCCCCATACACACACAGACAAACAGACGGCCAGGTATCCATCACCATCTGTGTGTCTGCCGGTCATGGCATGCCACGCCAGTATTGGTGTGGAGCTGCTGGTGATGGATGACGGCTGGTACGGCCAGCGCAACAACGACAAGACCTCACTCGGCGACTGGGACGTCGACCTCAAAAAACTCCCAAACGGTCCGCGCGAACACACACCTCTCCCCTCTCCCCTCTCCCC